CATTTTTTCTTTTATTAGAATAAAAGTAATTAATTATTTTAATTAATTTTAATGAATTAATCATTAACCATTCAATTAAATCAATTATTTTGATTAATTAGTCTTAATCTTCTTAATCTTATTTAATCACTGTCAAAGATTTGAAAGCCAACTAGTTTTCACCTCATATTTCAATTTTGCCTAAAGCTTTCTGTGATCAAGCAATTTCGTCCTAAAACTTTAAGTTATTTGAAATTCATCCTCCATTTTTTCGAATTTCCTTTAATTAATCTCTCAATTTTTAATTTGTTGTGATTTTGGAGGCTTGGCTTGTTTCCTATTTCGTTCAATTGAGTGCAAAGGTTTTCAAAAATTATAATTTTATCCTTTTCCTTTTGAACGTTACTTAATTAAGACTTAAAGAATAAAAAAGTTGAATTAAAACTCCCAATTTTAACATATACAGCTACATATCACATCGAGAATTGTAAAATACACGTATACCCTTCTTTACTTTTAATTGAACTTTCGAATCTTAATTTTTACACATGTTTTAAGTAATTTATCTTATTTTATAATTTGAATAAATAACGATTGTAATTTTCTCAAATGAGTAAATGAACACTAGAATTTTTTTGTATAATTTTTATGTTATTAAATGAGTAAATTAACTCAATATTACGAGTTTTAAATAAATAAAAAAAATTAATCATTTAAATGAAATATAAAATTATATTCAAAGATAATACAAAAAAATTATATCTAAATCATTTAAAAAAATATATATTTATGTCACATGATAGAAAAGTCCCTAATCAATCCTAATCAATCCAGACAATCATGAATCTAAAAACAAGTCACAACTCACAGGGGCAATGCAACAAATGCCGCAGTTTAAACAAAACTAATTTCAGCAATTGAAGCTTGAAATAAATCAATTCAGTAACGGCACAAACAATATCTCCCTTGCCCCAACTTTAAGACAACCAATCCCTTCCTGGCCCATCCAAAAATTCAGTAACGTGGCATTGGTGCATGTTAGTTAGTCCTCACTAGCACGATGAAGCAGTAAAAAGGATTGGATGACTTCAAATCAATAGTGATTTTATTTTCAACAGCAGCATTTAAACCTCTTAATTCAACAACACAAAACAGTATCAACAATTTTTTAATGTTCAATCCATTATGTAATGGCAACTAAACAAAATGACGGGATGTGTGTCTCCCAATTAAGTCCTAATGCAAGCCTGAAGATGATTAAGTCTCCTGATTTGAACCTCCCTCTTGGCTTGGTCACAACAACCATCCCATTCTGATACAAGGAAAAAAAAAAAAATGATGCTGGGTGATAATTTAAATTGTCCAAGGTACCTCTGATTTAAGCAGGGAAGCATTAGATAAGTGCAAAAAATAATGGAGCATAAAAGTTTAATTATGTACATATGAATCCATACGAAGGATTGAAGAAACATTGTAATTATGTGGCATATATCAAGATGGAATCACTGGAAAAGAAAAGCATGCAAATTATGAACAAAAAATGAACAAGAACAGCAAGTACCATATGAAAGTTCGATTGAGGAAGCTTACTTGCAGACTTGCAATTGGCTTCCACTTTCCTTCTCTGACATTTACAAGGAGATTGAACATTTTCCCTGCTGTACATTGTTTTGTGTACAAAGTAACAGGGGTCCAAACTCCACGGA